ACAGTGTGCTGCTAGGGGCACCTCTGGGCTCGAACGCCATTGAGGTAGTCCTCGAAGAAAAGCTGAAAGACCTGAGAAGGATGGAGGGAAGAATAAGGGCTTTGGATGCTCACGATGCTTTACCTTCTCACAAGGTGCCTGGCTTTGCCCAGACTTGCCTATTTCCTCAGGTGTGCTCCCTCCTTCGACAGCCCAAAATTAACGGAATATGACTTACTCCTAAAGTCAATAACTATGAAAGTGTTAAACCTCTCCCTGCAAGATGACCAATGGGACCAAGCAACGCTCCCAGTTAGACTCGGGGGGATAGGTATTCGCAAGGCGACACAGTTAGCATTGCCGGCATTCTTATCCTCGACCAGTGCTACAAGTGAATTAGTGAATGAAATATTACCCGAATACCTAAGAGACTCCATTGGGATTCGTGATCCCAAATTTGTGGAAGGAGCTGGTTAGTGGGACACTCTTGCCAATTCACACACTCGACCAACTTTTCCAAACTAAGGCAAGCAGGCCAAATGGGATAGCCCCGTAATAGAGAACATTGGCAAAGCATTGCTAGAGGCAGCTTCGGAGAAGGACAGAGTGCGTTTCCTAGCTGTGCAAGCCCCGCATGCCGAGGACTTCCTGTTGACAGTCCCTAATTCCGCCTTGGGCACCCGCCTGGACCATCGGGCCCTAAGTATTGATGTTGCCCTGCGCCTTGCCGCCCCTATCTCCACCGAGCACCGGTGTGTTTGCGGCCATGCACGGGCAGACCAATACGGCAGCCATGGTCTCATCTGTCGTAAGACACAGAGAAAGATTGCCAGACATGAAGCAGTCAATGACATCATCAAGAGAAGTTTGGCTACAGCTGGGTGTCCAGCACAAAGAGAACCTCAGTTGTGCAGACCTGACAACAGCCAAAAACGCCCAGATGGAGTCACCCTGCAGCCGTGGAGGGAAGGTAAACAGGTCGTATGGGATTACATATGTGCTTCCACATTGGCTGATACCTATCTACGTTACAGCACAGTTGAGGGAGGTGGGGCAGCCACCTTCAGGGAGACCCAGAAAATCAACAAGTACAGAGACCTAGAACGTTGTTACAGGTTCGTGCCGATCGGCTCTGAGACTCTGGGCGCCTGGGGTAAATGTGCACTTAAATTTTTAAAGGAGGTGGATGAGGAACTCATTGGGAAAACTAGAGACCCCACGAGCAGCCAGTTTCCTGTTCCAGCGCCTCAGTGTCGCAGTTCAGAGGGGAAATGCGTGCTGTATCCTGGATACACACCCCACCTCCGAGGAGCTGGACGAGGTCTTCGAACGCTGATTGTTATATTGTTATATATATGTGTGTGTGTGTGTGTGTGTGTGCGTGTGTGTGTGTGTGTGTGTGTGTGTGTGTGTGTGTGTGTGTGTGTGTGTGTGTGTGTGTGTGTGTGTGTGTGTGTGTGTGTGTGTGTGTGTGTGTGTGTGTGTGTGTGTGTGTGTGTGTGTGTGTGTGTGTGTGTGCGTGTGTGTGTGTGTGTGTGTGTGTGTACTCACCTATATGTACTCACCTATATGTGCTTGCAGGATCGAGCATTGACTCTTGGATCCCGCCTTTCTAGCTATCGGTTGTTTACAGCAATGACTCCTGTCCCATTTCCCTATCATACCTAGTTTTAAAAGTATGAATAGTATTTGCTTCCACAACCTGTTCCCCAAGTGCATTCCATTTTTCTACTACTCTCACGCTAAAAGAAAACTTCCTAACATCTCTGTGACTCATCTGAGTTTCCAGTTTCCACCCATGTCCCCTCGTTCTGTTATTATTACGTGTGAACATTTGATCTATTTCCACTTTGTCAATTCCCCTGAGTATTTTATATGTCCCTATCATATCTCCTCTCTCCCTTCTTTTCTCTAGTGTCGTAAGGTTCAGTTCCTTCAGCCGCTCTTCATATCCCATCCCTCGTAGCTCTGGGACAAGCCTCGTCGCAAACCTCTGAACCTTCTCCAGTTTCTTTATGTGTTTCTTCAGGTGGGGGCTCCATGATGGCGCGGCATACTCTAAGACGGGTCTCACGTAGGCAGTGTAAAGCGCCCTAAAAGCTTCCTCATTTAGGTTTCTGAATGAAGTTCTAATTTTCGCCAGTGTAGAGTACGCTGCTGTCGTTATCCTATTTATATGTGCCTCAGGAGTTAGATTAGGTGTCACATCCACTCCCATGTCTCTTTCTCGAATCGTTACAGGTAGGCTGTTCCCCTTCATTGTGTACTGTCCCTTTGGTCTCCTGTCACCTGATCCCATTTCCATAACTTTACATTTACTGGTGTTAAACTCCAGTAGCCATTTCTCTGACCATCTCTGCAGCCTGTTTAAGTCCTCTTGGAGGATCCTACAATCCTCGTCTGTCACAACTCTTCTCATTAATTTTGCGTCATCTGCAAACATCGACATGTATGATTCCACTCCTGTAAACATATCATTTACGTAAATTAGAAAGAGGATTGGTCCCAGCACCGATCCTTGAGGTACTCCACTTGTTACTGTTCGCCAGTCCGACTTTTCGCCCCTTACCATTACCCTCTGGCTCCTTCCTGTTAGGTAGTTCTTCACCCATACTAGGGCCTTTCCGCTTACTCCTGCCTGCCTCTCAAGTTTGTATAGCAGTCTCATGTGCGGTACCGTATCAAAGGCCTTTTGGCAGTCAAGAAATATGCAGTCTGCCCAGCCTTCTCTGTCCTGCCTTATCCTTGTTACTTTATCATAGAATTCTAAAAGGTTTGTTAGGCATGATTTCCCTGTCCAGAACCCATGTTGGTGCTTGTTTACAAACCCAATGCTCTCCAGGTGCTCAACAAGTCTTAGCCTAATTATTCTTTCAAGTATTTTGCAGGGGATGCTTGTCAGTGATACGGGTCTGTAGTTAAGTGCCTCCTCCCTATCCCCCTTTTTGAAAATCGGTACGACATTTGCCTCCTTCCAGCAACTGGGCAATTCTCCCGACATAAGTGACTCATTGAAGATCATTGCCAGAGGCACGCTGAGAGCCTGCGCTGCCTCTTTAAGTATCCACGGTGATACTTTGTCTGGTCCAACAGCTTTATTTGCATCCAGTGTTGTCAACTGTTTCATTACATCCTCTGCTGTCACCTCTATATCTGATAGTCTTTCATCTTGGGTAATCTCTTCTAACAATGGGAGCTGCTCAGGCTCGGTAGTGAACACTCCATGGAATTTTGCATTCAGTACCTCGCAGATTTCCTTGTCGCTTTCTGTATATGCCCCTTCTGTTTTCCTCAGTCTTGTCACTTGGTCATTTACCGACATCTTCCTTCTTATATGGCTATGTAGTAATTTTGGTTGCTTTTTCGCTTTGACTGCAATATCGTTCTCATAATTTCTTTCCGACACTCGTCTTATGTTAATGTAATCATTCCTAGCTCTGTTATATCTAATCCTGTTGTCCTCTGTCCTTTGCCTTCTGTACTTCCTCCACTCCCTCCTGCTTCTCACCTTTGCTTCCTGACACTGTCTATTAAACCATGGGTTATTATATTCCCTCCTGCTTTTTTCCTTTATTGTTGGAATAAATCTATCTTCAGCCTCCTTGCATTTCAATATGACTTGGTTCATCATACCTTGCACTGTTTTTCCTCTAAGTTCTTCCTCCCACTGCACTTCTCCCAGGTAGTCCCTTATCCTTCTGTAGTCCCCTTTTCTGTAATCAAGTCTCCTTTCCCGGACCTCTTGTCCTTTGGTCACAATTTTAAGCTCCATCATGTAGTCAAAGGCTAGGACACAATGGTCACTAGCTCCTAGTGGTATTTCATGTTCCAACTGCTCGATGTCTTCTACATTCTGAGTGATAATGAGATCTAATAGGCTGGGCGTATCCCCTCCTCTTTCCCTAGTATCTTCTTTCACATGCTGTGTTAGGAAATTCCTGTCAATAACGTCTACCAGCTTCGCTCCCCAGGTCTCCTCCCCGCCATGGGGATTCCTCGTTTCCCAATCTATCTCTCCGTGATTTAGGTCCCCCATGACCAGCAGCTTCGCTCTCATTCTATGCGCTAAAGTTGCTGCCCTCTGCAGTTCATCCATACTTGTCTTGTTGCTGTCCTCGTACTCCTGCCTGGGCCTTCTACTGTTTGGTGGGGGATTGTAGAGTATCAAGATTACAATCTTCTTCCCATCCACTGTCAGAGTTCCATGTGTGTGTGTGTGTGTGTGTGTGCGTGTGTGCGTGTGTGCGTGTGTGCGGTGTGTGTGTGTGTGTGTGTGTGTGTGTGCGTGTTCTCTGTAAACTGTAGCATTGCAACAAAATAAAACAAAATAAAAAAACAAAACCAAACATACATTAAAAAAATAATATCGGTGGTAGGAGAAGAAAAGATTTAAGTGTTCAGTGAGAATCCACAAGGTCTTCTCTAAAGCTATTTGTTTTCTTCCTCGAGGATGTGGGTCCCTGCAATTGCACCAGAGGTGGTACCCCTATATATATATATATATATATATATATATATATATATATATATATATATATATATATATATATATATATATATATATATATATATAAACACAAAATAGATGTCGAAACAAGGGTATAGATTGTGTGAGTCTAGATTGAGGAAAGACCTGGGTAAATATTGGTGCAGAATCAGTGTAGTTGATATATGGAACAAATTACCAGGTAACGTAGTAGACGTGGGATCACTTGGTTATTTCAAGCGTAGGTTAGACATATATACAAATGAGTTTTGGTGAATATATATAGGAGCTGCCTCGTATTGGTCAATAGGCTTTCTGCTTTTCCATTTTCTGTATTTTTTTAAGTTCTCACTGCCGAAGATCTCACTGCCGTTCGCAGCCACTGTGGGGCTGCGAACGGCACTGCCAAAGTGAACAGTGTCTGTTATAGAACGAGGGAGGGGGAGAGGAGCTATCAAGTGTAGTTAAAATATAATAGCCGCCGCTAGACCATGTAATTGCGATCCATTTTCTATTCATAAGCGGACTATGGCGTTTATTTCGCGTACGTTGGCATGGCGACCAAAGACAACATATTCTCACGCCCACTCTGATACGCCGCCCACCCTGATACGCCGCCCACTCTGATACGCCGCCCACTCTGATACGCCGCCCACTCTGATACGCCGCCCACTCTGATACGCCGCCCATCCTGATACGCCGCCCACTCTGATACGCCGCCCATCCTGATACGCCGCCCATTCTGATACGCCGCCCACTCTGATACGCCGCCCACCCTGATACGCCGCCCACTCTGATACGCCGCCCACCCTGATACGCCGCCCACTCTGATACGCCGCCCATCCTGATACGCCGCCCATCCTGATACGCCGCCCACTCTGATACGCCGCCCACCCTGATACGCCGCCCACTCTGATACGCCGCCCACCCTGATACGCCGCCCACTCTGATACGCCGCCCACTCTGATACGCCGCCCATCCTGATACGCCGCCCACTCTGATACGCCGCCCATCCTGATACGCCGCCCATTCTGATACGCCGCCCACTCTGATACGCCGCCCATCCTGATACGCCGCCCATCCTGATACGCCGCCCATTCTGATACGCCGCCCATTCTGATACGCCGCCCATCCTGATACGCCGCCCACTCTGATACGCCGCCCACTCTGATACGCCGCCCATCCTGATACGCCGCCCACCCTGATACGCCGCCCACTCTGATACGCCGCCCACTCTGATACGCCGCCCACCCTGACACGCCGCCCACCCTGACACGCCGCCCACTCTGATACGCCGCCCACTCTGATACGCCGCCCACCCTGACACGCCGCCCACCCTGACACGCCGCCCACCCTGACACGCCGCCCACCCTGACACGCCGCCCACCCTGACACGCCGCCCACCCTGACACGCCGCCCACCCTGACACGCCGCCCACCCTGACACGCCGCCCACCCTGACACGCCGCCCACCCTGACACGCCGCCCACCCTGACACGCCGCCCAGCCTGACACGCCGCCCGTGAGGTTTGGTGAGATATTAAGCGTCTTGCCGTATTTTGTCCGCCAATTATATTTGAGATGTCACCTCGGGAGCCACTCAGGGAGCCACTCAGGGAGCCACTCAGGGAGCCACTCAGGGAGCCACTCAGGGAGCCACTCAGGGAGCCACTCAGGGAGCCACTCAGGGAGCCACTCAGGGAGCCAATCAGGGAGCCACTCAGGGAGCCACTCAGGGAGCCACTCAGGGAGCCACTCAGGGAGCCACTCAGGGAGCCAATCAGGGAGCCACTCAGGGAGCCACTCAGGGAGCCACTCAGGGAGCCAATCAGGGAGCCACTCAGGGAGCCACTCAGGGAGCAACTCAAGGAGCCACTCAAGGAGCCACTCAGGGAGCCACTCAAGGAGCCACTCAGGGAGCCACTCAGGGAGCCAATCAGGGAGCCACTCAGGGAGCCACTCAATAAGTCACTCAGGGAGCCACTCAGGAAGCCACTCAGGGAGCCACTCAGGGAGCCACTCAGGGAGCCACTCAGGGAGCCACTCAGGGAGCCACTCAGGTACTCTGCTGACCTGATCTCTCAACTAAAACGTCTCATTGTGAAGGTCATGGTCTCCAACGTACAAAATAGAAAGTACTATGACACATAGTGTGTCACCCATATCCACGTTTTCTATGTACTGGTAGGTTAGGCGGGTTGTTTGGGTTCGTACGTGTCTGGTCATTTTGAGCGCGGCCGCTCCTGATCACGGCTGGCCGTCAACTGAGCTCCCGATTGATGAAGATCAAGCCACTCCCCCACCTCTGCCTGTGCCAGAGGTGGCACGGGCATGAATAGCCCGTAAGTGGAGGCTGTTTGAAGCCATTACCAGTCCCAGTAGCTGGTACTGTAGATCTGGGGATGAATGGGGTCTGGAAAGTGGGAGAGTCAGAAGGATAGTCTCCACTTACGGGCTATTCATGCCCGTGCCACCTTTTGGGTGGCTTAATCTTCATCAATCAATCAATCAAGGATAGTCTGGAGAGGAAGCTTCGGCGTCGCAGAGAGTAGAGCCCGGGCTCAACCCAGCAAGGGCGAAGATTTTTGGATAGAGAACAGGGTCATTTGACCAGACCACACACTAGAAGGTGAAGGGACGACGACGTTTCGGTCCGTCCTGGACCATTCTCAAGTCGATTGTGACTTGATTCACAATCGACTTGAGAATGGTCCAGGACGGACCGAAACGTTATCGTCCCTTCACCTTCTAGTGTGTGGTCTGGTCAACTTACTTTAGCCACGTTATTGTGACTCATCGCCTGCAGAGCAGGGTCAAGCTCACTGCACAAAGCACTAGGAATGAGGAGTGCCAAGGGGGCCAAGCGGCAGCCAGAAGTCCTTGTTTAATAGTTCACTCCAGTATCACTATCTCAGGGGCCCCACAGGGCTCTATTTTTGTCCTGTTCTTCGGGTACTTGTTGTGGCTTGGTGTGTGTACCTGGGTGTCCACAGGCGACAGTGTAGGGTATCGTGGGAGACCCTCGACGATACTCCGCGGTAAGTCGAGGGTGATCGTCTGGCCATTTCTGAAAGCGGAGTATCGACCTGTGGTTGTGTCCACAATGCCAGGTCCGTCGTGACCCTCGACCATGGGCGTACGTACCCACCCGGTGAGGCGTCGAGACTGTATCTTGGGAGCCATACTCGTCCACGCCGGAGTGACCCTCGACCATGGGCGCACGTACCCACCCGGTGAGGCGTCGAGACTGTATCTTGGGAGCCATACTCATCCACGCCGGAGTGACCCTCGACCATGGGCGTACGTACCCACCCGGTGAGGCGTCGAGACTGTATCTTGGGAGCCATACTCATCCACGCCGGAGTGACCCTCGACCATGGGCGTACGTACCCACCCGGTGAGGCGTCGAGACTGTATCTTGGGAGCCATACTCATCCGCGCCGGAGTGACCCTCGACCATGGGCGTACGTACCCACCCGGTGAGGCGTCGAGACTGTATCTTGGGAGCCATACTCATCCACGCCGGAGTGACCCTCGTCGTCCACGTGCTCGTCTGAAGATGCGTAGTCCTCTTCGTCCTGTGTCGCCAGTATTCCTGCTTTCTTTATGTTATGTACCGCTGTCAGCGTCCGTCTGGGTGTCCGCACTTGTCGTCGTCCGTGGAGCGTCCGTCTGGGTGTCCGCACTTGTCGTCGTCCGTGGAGCGTCCGTCTGGGTGTCCGCACTTGTCGTCGTCCGTGGAGCGTCCGTCTGGGTGTCCGCACTTGTCGTCCGTGGAGCGTCCGTCTGGGTGCCCGCACTTGTCGTCGTCCGTGGAGCGTCCGTCTGGGTGCCCGCAGTTGTCGTCGTCCGTGGAGCGTCCGTCTGGGTGCCCGTAGTTTTCGTCGTCCGTGGAGCGTCCGTCTGGGTGCCCGCACTTGTCGTCGTCCGTGGAGCGTCCGTCTGGGTGCCCGTAGTTTTCGTCGTCCGTGGAGCGTCCGTCTGGGTGCCCGTAGTTTTCGTCGTCCGTGGAGCGTCCGTCTGGGTGCCCGTAGTTTTCGTCGTCCGTGGAGCGTCCGTCTGGGTGCCCGCAGTTGTCGTCGTCCGTGGAGCGTCCGTCTGGGTGCCCGTAGTTTTCGTCGTCCGTGGAGCGTCCGTCTGGGTGCCCGCACTTGTCGTCGTCCGTGGAGCGTCCCTCTGGGTGCCCGTAGTTGTCGTCGTCCGTGGAGCGTCCGTCTGGGTGCCCGCACTTGTCGTCGTCCGTGGAGCGTCCCTCTGGGTGCCCGTAGTTGTCGTCGTCCGTGGAGCGTCCGTCTGGGTGCCCGCAGTTGTCGTCGTCCGTGGAGCGTCCGTCTGGGTGCCCGTAGTTGTCGTCGTCCGTGGAGCGTCCGTCTGGGTGCCCGTAGTTGTCGTCGTCTGTGGAGCGTCCGTCTGGGTGCCCGTAGTTGTCGTCGTCCGTGGAGCGTCCGTCTGGGTGCCCGTAGTTGTCGTCGTCTGTGGAGCGTCCGTCTGGGTGCCCGTAGTTGTCGTCGTCCGTGGAGCGTCCGTCTGGGTGCCCGTGGTTGTCGTCGTCCGTGGAGCGTCCGTCTGGGTGTCCGCAGTTGTCGTCGTCAGCCGTGGGCCATCGGTCTGGGTGGCTGCAACTCCATACTCAGTCACAGGTGCTAGTACAGGCGCAATGCCATTTGCTTCCAGCAGCCCGTTCACTGTTCTGGTGAACAAGTTGTGATCTTTTGAACAAACCCACAAGGGCCGTGCTGAGGGTTCGAACTTATGCCCTGGATAATGCCAGACGCTGCCTTAGTCGACTAGGCCACGACATGGTAAGACAATTGCAACCGGGAATTCCAATGACTTCACACGGATCCTGCAGCCTCTCCGAGACACAAACCAGGGATTTACACAATTTCCCCCATGCACTCGGGCCCCGCTGAGGTTTATTTGGTCGTCCAGTCCAAACGGTCGTAGTCTACATCTGGTTTATGGAAGGGAGGCTCGGGAGGCTCTGGAGGCTCGGGAACTGGTCAGGTCCGAGGTCGAGGGTCGCGACGACTTGCCTCTGGGTGGTCGGTGGTCTTCTCTTGAATCTTCTTCAGTTCCTCCTTCCTGTTTGTGCAGAGGAAGGCTGAGCTCCCAAGACGTGACCGGATATATAGGTTATAGCATCGAGCTCTTCACTGATTGGCTGGTATTTCACCTTTCCATCAATTATTGTTAACTTCAATGTCACCTTTCGCCATTGGCTTAGATATGATCTTTTGATCGCCCACCATCTTTTTTTTAATTAGAATACAGTATCTATAGTTGCTTTGGATGGAAGTACACAATATTATTTTGAAAAAGTCTATGTTTGGTACTATTAATTCCGTTGAGAGCCCGAGATAGAAGACAACAACCACCCTAACATTTCCAAGGCCTATTATAATGCCTATATGTATTAAATTAGGCCTATGATTGCGTATGATGGGCCTATTAATTATTTTTAGGGATAGGATAGATATGGTTAGGCTGCAGGCGATGAGTCACAATAACGTGGCTAAAGTATGTTGACCAGACCACACACTAGAAGTTGTTGTTTAAGATTCGCTACTCAGAACAATAAGTTCCAGTAGCACGGGCTATGGTGAGCCCGTAATCACACTAGAAGGTGAAGGGACGACGACGTCTCGGTCCGTCACACTAGAAGGTGAAGGGACGACGACGTCTCGGTCCGTCCTGGACCATTCTCAAGTCGATTGTGATGAGGAAGTAGATGCAGTCAGTATGGTTAGGATGTTAGGCTAAAGGCTAGTCTGATTTCTCTTGTGCCTTTCGGTTTCCAATTGTTCAAAATGTGTACTTATTTGCGTACAATTTATTTTGCGTACTTAACTGAAAGCGTGTTTGTACATGTCATCCATGGTAGCATAACGTTCTATCATCTTTAAATGATCGGTTGACAAATGTATATATATATTATCTTATGTTTCAAAAACCTTTTGTGGAGTTCAAAATAGTACTGAAACGTGAGTCTATTAAAGACGCTGGATCAGGTGTAGGGAGTGTAATGGAGAGTCAGTAGAGAGTCACATATACCTGAGAGTGGTGGAGTATCTCCCGGTGTGCTCTTTGTGTGAGAGCATGTGTGTGGGGCCTCCTGGCTTGTAGGTGTGTGTGGGGGAGGGAGGACCAGGCCTGACACGCCCTGCATGGCTCTCTCTCTCTCTCTCTCTCTCTCTCTCTCTCTCTCTCTCTCTCTCTCTCTCTCTCTCTCTCTCTCTCTCTCTCTCTCTCTCTCTCTCTCTCTCTCTCTCTCTCTCTCTCTCTCTCTCTCTCTCTCTCTCTCTCTCTCTCTCTCTCTCTCTCTCTCTCTTCTCTCTCTCCCTCTCTTTCTCTCTCTCCTCTCTCTCTCTCTCTCTCTCTCTCTCTCTCTCTCTCTCTCTCTCTCTCTCTCTCTCTCTCTCTCTCTCTCTCTCTCTCTCTCTCTCTCTCTCTCACACACACAGGATGAGGGAAGACCCCCACCCCCCACACACCTGCATACTCTCACAGCACAGAAAGACTCGCCAGCATGGAAAAGCCCCAGAAATTGACTGTCCTTAGCATGGTACAGGATTATCACCACACACTCCCCTGGAACAGAACCAGCAACACAATAAAAAAAATATGAATAAAAAACTTTGTATACCACATATGTCAGACCAATCCTGGAGTATGCAGCCCCAGCATGGAGTCCATATCTAGTCAAGCATAAGACTAAACTGGAAAAGGTTCAAAGGTTTGCCACCAGACTAGTACCCGAACTGAGGGATATGAGCTACGAGGAGAGACAACGGGAATTAAACCTCACGTCACTGGGAGACAAAAGAGTTAGAGGGGACATGATCACCACATACAAGATTCCCAGAGGAATTGATAGGGTAGATAGGATGGGATATGAGGACAAGGATCTGGGATATGAAGACAAGGAGCTGGGATATGAGGACAAGGAGCTGGGATACGAGAACAAGGAGCTGGGATATGAGGACAAGGAGCTGGGATATGAGGACAAGGCGCTGGGATATGAGGACAAGGAGCTGGGATATGAGGACAAGGCGCTGGGATATGAGGACAAGGAGCTGGGATATCAGGACAAGGAGCTGGGATATGAGGACAAGGAGCTGGGATATGAGGACAAGGAGCTGGGATATCAGGACAAGGAGCTGGGATATGAGGACAAGGAGCTGGGATATCAGGACAAGGAGCTGGGATATCAGGACAAGGAGCTGGGATATGAGGAAAAGGAGCTGGGATATCAGGACAAGGAGCTGGGATCTCAGGACAAGGAGCTGGGATATGAGGAAAAGGAGCTGGGATATCAGGACAAGGAGCTGGCATATGAGGACAAGGTGCTGGGAGGCGAGTTCCTTGTTTACCTCCGAAAAAATTGTCCTAATATCCACTGACTTTCGCATGTCCTGCTGATGTTTTCTAGTGTGGTTTTGTGTCTGAATGTGCGTGTGAGTGTAAGTGCGTGAGTGCACACCTGCAACTTGTTTCACTTCTACAAAAGACAGATGAACGTGCTCGCAATTCTTGCCCAACTTCCAGCGCGGAAATTGGATAAAAATTGCCTAATTCCTCCGGCATGCGACTGCCTAACTGTCGCCTGCCCGAGCCTCAGTCAGGCCTACAAATTGGGTAAATATAGATTCAGAAAAGACCTGGGTAAATACTAGTTATTTGGAATAGGGTTAGAGATTTATGGAATCAATTATAAAGTTACATAATATACGTGGCATCGCTGGGTTGTTTCAAACGTAGGTTGGACATATATATATGAATGAGTTTGGGTGGATATAAATACTAGCTGCCTCGTATGGGCCAATAGGCCATCTGCAATGTCGTATATTCCTATGTTATTATGTTCTGTTAACACAGTTCACTGCAAAAACATCGTGGTCTTACATACACGTGGGCTTCTGTTGTCAAACTAACAGCGAATTTAGAGTTAATTAAGGCCATTAAGCTGAACTGAACCAGGTCTAAGAACCGCGTCTCGTTTTCAGACCAGCTTTGGGGAATAGCAGCATCAATCAAGCTGTTTGGTCGTGTAGCATCTTGAAGTGCCTCTGGGTCTCTGGTGATCAGAGTCTTGGCACATTAAGCGGGTCGACTCAGTTTGGTAAAAGAAGTTCTTGTGTCGGTTAATGTTTATGCAGCATGTGTCGGTTAATGTTTATGCAGCATGTGTCGGTTAATGTTTATGCAGCATGTGTCGGTTAATGTTTATGCAGCATGTGTCGGTTAATGTTTATGCAGCATGTGTCGGTTAATGTTTATGCAGCAAAATTGATCTTCGTCTCAACCGGAGATGATAGAGGCTTTGAACCAGGATGCTCACTACTCA